CAGTGCGATCAGGAGTGTTCGAAGACAGGATTGGCCAGTTTTCGGGCAGGGCAGGAAGAGCTTCCTGGGAGGTTTTTGACTTGAGACTTGAGTGATAAAACCAGTTTTTGCCATATTGGGATGGGAGGGGTGATGATACTACAAATAGTCTGAATAAAGACAGGTGTATGAGACACCTCTTGAAGCAACTAAAAGGACAGGGGCATGGAGAACAGGCTGGTATCAGGTGGGAAGGGCCATTCTTGGATTAATTTGTATATCAAGTAAGGCATTTGAACTTTATTGTGTAGATAATGGAGACCCCTTGAAGGCTATACAGAAGAGTAGTTATATTGTCAGATAGAAACCTCACTCTAGCTGCAGTGTGAAGAAGGGACTGAAAAAGTTAAAACTCGAAGCAGCAAGACTATCAGACAGACTACTAGAGAAGTCCAGGCATGAGGTGACACATTAAGACAGATTCCTCAAGACTTTAACACTGGGATATTTTAAAACACAATTTCCTTGTTGCAGTAATGTCTTGTTTCTTTGTTTACTGGCTGAAGACCCAATTTTCAGATAATGTAGAATATATTTATACAGCTAGTTTAGATACAAGGGTTATTTTAGCAAAGTATTGCAGCTCTCTTTCAAAGAGTGGAAAATATTGTTGCAATGAGAAATTTCTTTTTAGGTGAACAGTAATGTAATTATCTGAAAGGATATAAAAAGTTCACAAATGAAGGGAATGTCTCCTAATTCAGGCTTAAAAATTATAAGCAACGTGGGGCACCTGGGTGGCTCAGTCATTGTCTGCCTTCGGCTCAGGTCATGGTCCCAGGGTCCTGGGATCGAGTCCTGCATCGGGCTCCCTGCTACGCGGAAGCCTGCTTCTCCCCCAGACTGCAGCTCTCCCTGCTTGTGTTCCCTCTCTTGATGTATCTCTGTCAAACAAATGGATAAATCTTTAAAAATATATATATATATAAGCAATGTAAGAGACTGCATTAAAGAGGTAATAAGGGGCGCCTGGGTGGCTCAGTCTATTAAGCAGCTGCCTTCAGCTCGGGTCATGGTCCCAGGGTCCTGGGATCAAGCCCCGCATTGGGCTCCCTGCTTCTCCCTCTCCCACTCTCCCTGCTTGTGTTCCCTCTCTTGCTGTCTGTCAAATAAATAAAAATATTAAAAAATATATATAATAACAGGATGCCTAGTTTATCCCAAACTATTTCTCTAGACCAGTGCTGTCTAGCAGAAATACAATGTGAGCCACAAACGTGACTTTAAGTTTTCTAGTAGCCACATTAAAAGATAAAAAAGCCAAACAGGTCGGGGGCACCTGGGTGGCTCAGTTGGTTGAGCGTCTGACTCTTGATTTTGGCTGAGGTCATGATCTTAGGGTTGTGAGATTGAGCCCCAAATCGGGCTCCACGCTCAGTGGGGAGTCTGGTTCAGAGACTCTCCCTCTCCTCCTGCTCATGCACACTCTCTTTCTCTCAAATATTTAAATAAAAAAAACAGGTTGAATTAATTTTAATTATATTTTACTTAACTTGGTATATCAAAAATATTATTGCAAAATATAAAAATTGGGATACTTACTATCTATGAAGACAATATATTTAGTATTCTTTTTCATACTGAGTATTCAAAATACATTGTATATTTTATACTTTTAGCACATTTCAGTTCAGACTAACCACATTAGTACTCCAATATCCACATGCAGCTACTGGCTACAGTACTGGACAGTGGAGCTCCAGATAATTTCTTCAACTCCATTCTAAAGATATATGAAACATTTCAGCAGCACTTTCAAGGATATATTGGCAATTCTTTTTTTTTTTTTCCCTTAAGATTTATTTGAGAGAGAGAGCGCATACGTGGGGAGAGCAAAGCAGGAGGGGCAGAGGGAGGGGGAGAGAGAATCTCAAGCATACTCCACCTTGATCGCAGAGCCCCACTCAGGCCTCAATTTCATGACCTTGAGATCACGACATGAGCCAAAACCAAGAATCAGACAGATGCTTAATCGACTGGGCCACCCAGGTGTCCCTTGGTAATTCTTCTTCTCAGAAAGGTGTTAAATCACTTGAGGTTTTACTTCAAAACCTGAATACATTAATTAGGCCTACTGCATTTTTATAATATAGTATCAGTACACAGAGAGTAGAAATGAGAAGTATTTAAATTTGATTTTTCTCCATGAGTATTACTTTTTACTGTTTCAGGATGTGAAATAATACCAAACTTTATTTAAATTTTGAAATGGAATCCACAAGAGTATATTCTCTGCGAACAGTGTATAAAAAGCCTTCTGAATTTTGAAGATCTGTGATGACTTAAGGTTGGAAATGGAGAATCAAGGAATCACAGGAAATTATTAGTATTATAGATCAACAATAGGTGGCTGAATAAGATAAATCATCTTTGTTTCACTGTTCAATTTTTTCAGCTAACATAGTTAAGAAAATTACTTTATATACTGCAAGCCCTATATAGGGGTATCCAGTGTTTGAGCAACTTAGAGCTTCCAGTAATTTTACAGGAGGAAATGGGAGGTTGTATTTAAGTAGGCAGTCACTAGAAAATTCCAAGGTTTGAATACTGACTTCTCTAAATTCACATTCAAGCACAGGTCTTGTATCCAGTCTAATACTTCCAAGTTTTCATAAAAAGAATTAAGGTGAGAGCTCTAACAGTCAGTCAGATGCTAGCACAAAGTAGGTGCCGAGTTGATGAAATCATAGCTGGAATTTTGGCAGATAAAAAGAATGAAGGACTGAGTTTTTGCAAAAGAATGATTGTGGAATCCAAGCCTGGTAAAAAGGTAAGTCATAAACAGAGTGAGATTGCAATGAAAAAAAAAATAGTGGGGTCAAAGGATTGAAATTTAATGGGTTGAAGGAGTGTAGAGCTGTAAAACTGTAAAGACAGGAGGTGGAAAGTAGGAGATGCTTGAAATCAAGACTTCAGAAGTTTGTAGTATTTGGTGAATACCAGGGCTGGGTCTCATGATGGGAGTAGGTGGCTGAGATGCAGACTAGGCTCACTGCAGGTGAGGAAGTTAGGGAATTAAAAGGGCGTTTTGGAAATTAGGTCATTAAGAATGTTTTAAGCAGTGGTAGGGGTTAAGTAAGCGAGGTGCTATATAATCTTAAGTGAGAAAGAGGAAGTAACCAGGAAGTGGGGTGGATCATGTATTCTATGTCAGTAGTTCTCAACTGTGGCCAGTTTGCACCAGAGGGGACACAGGGAAATGTCTGGAGACATTTTTGGTTGCCACAATTGAGGGGTGTATGCATGTGCTTTACTGGCCACCTTGTGAAGAGAGGCCAAGGATGCTTCCAAATACCCTACAATGCACAGAACAGCTTCTCTCTTACAACAAAGATTTATCCGGTTCCATATGTCAATAGTGCTGAGGTTGGGAAACTGCTTTAGGTGGAGGCACCACAATCAAGGTATGTTGGTTGAAAAAACAAGCTGAGAACTATCAATCCAGTAAATATTGTTTCTACTTAAATTGAATAGTTTAAGGGAAAAAGACACATTAAAAATATCCATTCATTCATTTACTCAATCAACAAACATAGGCTGCATTTCTACTTAACGGGGCATCACTATTGTAGGTTTTTAAGATTCATCAGTGAACATAAGATCCCTGTCCTGAGACTAAGAATTCCTCAAATCAGTGAGATCATATGATACATGTCTTTGCTGATTGACTTATTTAGCTCAGCATAATACCCTCTAGTTCGATCCACCTCGTAATCTCAGGAAACAAACTGAGGGTTGCTGGAGTGGTGGGGGGTGGGAGGGATGGGGTGGCTGGGTGATAGACATTGGGAGGGTATGTGCTATGGTGAGCACTGTGAATTGTGTAAGACTGATGAATCACAGACCTGTACCTCTGAAACAAATAATACATTATATGTTAAAAAAAAGAAGATAGTAGGAAGGGGAAAATGAAGGAGGGGAAATCGGAGGGGGAGACGAACCATGAGAGACTATGGACTCTGAGAAACAAGCTGAGGGTTCTAGAGGGGAGACGGGTAGGGGAATGGGTTAGCCTGGTGATGGGTATTAAAGAGGGCGCGTATCGAATGGAGCACTGGGTGTTATATGCAAACAATGACTCATGGATCACTACATCAAAAACTAATGATGTAATGTATGGTGATTAACATAAAATTTAAAAAAATCCATGAAAATCTTTATTCTTAATACCTGTGTCTTAGAAGTTTTCTTTATGCATTTTGATAGTTATCTAAATCCTCTAAGATTACATTAGCAATTAAAAAAAAATCTGGTTTGAAAAAAAAGATCCCTGTCCTTGGATGCCTCTTAAGCAGAGAGAGAGAGCTATAAATGTAGATGGTCTGTTAGAAAGTGGTGTTATAGAAGAGAGATTAAGGATATTGGGAGTGCTGGGGAGTGATGGACAAAGGGTAGACTGCAGTTTTAAATCAGGGTCTCACTGGGATGATGTCTGGACAAAGGTTTAAGAGATGAGAGAATATGAATATATGTTGCCCAGAAAATATAGTTTTAGTTTGCATTCACTTCACAGGAAAGGGGTAAAGTGGGTTGTGCTAAGGGATACAAAATTAGACCAGCCATGATTTCTGCCCTAAAGGAGCTTCGTGATGAACTAACATCTTGGAAATCATAGAAAAACGAAGACAGCAAATACAAGACAGTAATTTTGCTCTATACTCTTTGTTCCTGTTTTCCTCTTTTGTCATTATGGGAATAACAGGTTAATGATTAGCTGTTATTTTCCACTTGTGCTCCACATTTGCTCCTTCTCAGAAAACAATTACACAGGAACCTGGATTAAGCAGTGAAATGATGAAATGGGTTTGGAGTAAACAACTGAGAGTGGTGGGGTCAGAGAACAGGAAAAGGTAAACTTACAGAAAGGGATAATGATTAGGAAGAAAGGCTTGCAGTATCTCTATTTACCTTCCCTGCTGACAGTTCTGTTTCCAGCCACTTACTAGCTCTCTGCCTCTCAGGTATGGTAACAGCACAAGGAGCTATGCTGTTCGGGTTGGGGATTATCATACTTTGGTGCCAGAAGAATTTGAAGAAGAAATTGGAGTTCAGCAAATTGTGATTCATCGGGAGTATCGACCTGACAGCAGTGACTATGACATCGCCCTGGTTCGATTAGAAGGACCAGAAGAGCAGTGTGTTAGATTTAGCAGCCACGTTTTGCCCGCCTGTTTGCCACTCCATAGAGAGAGGCCACAGAAAACCGCCTCCAGTTGTTACATAACAGGATGGGGAGACACAGGTAATGTAGATAATACGAAGGACAAGTGAGACCTGGGCATGTTCTTGTGTCTGGGACTATCAATACTTTTGGGTGTACAATGGGAATGAAAATCTTAAATTGGTTCAGATTTAGTTTGGAAATTGTCAAGTGTGTGATGCATGCATGTAATTTGGATTCCTATCCTGAGGGTATTGTTGGTTACATTATTAGCACAAATTGACAGAACTCAATTGCCTTATGGGGTAGAGAATCCTGTACTTTCAGTTCCATAGACTAGTAAGGAGACAGAGGAACGGATTTTTCATTTTTAAGACCCTACTCCAACACTTGGGGCCTGGCTGGCTATATTTAAAAAAAAATCATTTTTTAAAGATTTTTTTTGTCAGAGAAAAAAACAAGCAGGGGGAGCAGCAGGCAGAGCAGACAAAGGGAGAAGCAGGAGCCTGATGTGGGCTTGATCCCGGGACCCAGGGATCATGACCTGAGCCGAGGGCAGATGCTTAACCAACTGAGCCACCCAGGCACCCCCCCACCCCCCTCTTAAAGCTTTTTGTCAGAGTGGCTATATTTTTTAAAAGCTTTCCCAGAGGACTCTGATTTAGCTACACCAGCAAAGGGCCTTGGTGTTCGATGGCCTTGCTTTTTCTGTAATAAAGGCCACTATCAAACTCAATTTTATGGAGAATCTCTAAATATAGAACAGACAAAAGAGAGCTTCTATGAAGTGGAGATCCAACCCACTTTTCCCCCTTCATCCCACCCTCCCAACCCCCAAGCTAGAGCAAGATGTTCATCTTATAAGTCTTCTCAGGCAAAACAATTTTCTGGATTGCCTTGCTATAGAATTAAATCAGTGTACATCAGCTAGTGCTTGTTCAGGATGGTCCTTGAGAAAGATGTAGGGCTCACCTAGACTGGGTGCTTGATTCACAAATGGCTACTGAATAAGGGACAGGCTGACTGCTCTCCATTAAAAATGATCAACACTGATCATTGTACTCTTGAAAAGAACATCAAATAAGTATTTCTACATGTGATAATTTCAATGTTTTATTTAGTAAATGTTTGTGTTCATTTCATCACACTGCACAAAATATGGGCTTTATACTTGCATTATTTCATAGCTGCATAAAGGCAGAATATCTGCTATAGATATACTGAAAAGGCACGTAACTGTCCAATCCTGAGATAAACCACAAAGAAAACATTTTCTGGATGATACAATAATCAGATCAGAGTAAATGCCTTCTCTGTACACTGTGTGGATCTATGAGGCAAATAGTCTCTGAGAAGGCTTAACTATATCCATTACAACTCATGAGGGAGGGTTCATTTACCTTCCTTTAGACAGAAACAGAAATTAACAGTTAACAGAAATGACAAAGTCAACTTTACACAATGTTTTATTAGGAGTTATTACAATTAATAGGGTGCAAGAAAAACAATGGAATTTAGATCCAAGAAAAGGCTCATGGAGAATATTATTATACATTTTAGCCACTGAACAATGAGTGGCCTGCCAGTATAGAGTATACAAACTTCAAATGCTCAAACTTAGGCCTGTTTGATATATAGTAATGTTTTGCTCCTCCATTCTTATGAAATGCCATGCTTCTACCATGCTATTTAGAGTAGTTCTTGCCACTTTATGTCCTTCTATACCATTTAGTTATCACTCATTTAAACTACACTAGATCACAATAAGGCTTTTATTTTCAAGATTAAAAGTTCATTTAACTGTTAAATGTTTTCTGTAAGGTCTTTAGCTGGCATCTAATTCAGATTATTTGGTCCGACTAGGACGAGCCTATTCAAGAACTCTACAACAAGCAGCCATCCCCCTACTTCCCAAGAGGTTTTGTGAAGAACGTTATAAGGGTCGGTTTACAGGAAGGATGCTCTGTGCTGGGAATCTACATGAACACAAACGTGTTGACAGCTGCCAGGGAGACAGCGGAGGACCGCTCATGTGTGTTCGGGCAGGAGAGAGTTGGGTTGTATACGGGATAACCTCCTGGGGGTATGGCTGTGGAGCCAAAGATTCACCTGGTGTCTATACCAAAGTCTCAGCCTTTGTACCTTGGATAAAAAGTGTCACCAAATTATAATTCTTCATGGAAACCTGAAGAGAAAATATGTTGGAAAATTTTCAACCTCTACATTAGCACTCAGCCAGAGATGCCAACTTATGGGGATGAGAGCCATGTTTCTGCTTTTGTGTTGTGATTAAATCATGTACACCACTGCTGCTTGAGAAATTTGTGATGTGAACATTCTGTTAGATACCTCAGTGTAGTACTAATTATTCTTGATTAGCATTGTTGGTAGTCTTTATTCTCAGCACTCTCCAGAGATTACTGTATATCAACTGTGCAATAAGCCTGTTTTTATTCTTTTGGATTAAGAGTCTATAATTCAATCAATACTCTTTATTACACTTAAGTGATATTGTGTAATTAAGCTCAGATTTTCTTCAAAAGGCTGAGAAATTTCCACAATGACTCTCTGTAGCCTTTGACAAGTGAGGAAGTCAAGGCCCAAAAAGGTGAAGGAATCCATTATAAACCTAGACTGGAACAGGATCAGTCACAATACATTCCTGAATAAAGCCTTTGTACCATGCACTATGGCAACACATTCTAGTTACCTAGCAAAATTTGGAATACCTGATAGTAAAGAATGCCTTCAAGTTGTTGGGATATACAACCTAATCTATCCACCTTATTTGTTAACATCCTCTAGCAGTTACTTTCGGCTTGATAAAATTTTTCCTTGGCATCATGCCATTTGCCGTACCATGACTTAAGAGTGCCATCTAGTGCAACTTTCTTATAATGACTAAAACATGTAGATTTCCACTATCCTGGTCCCAGCTAATAAAGACACTTAAAAAAATGCTTTCTCTGCTTACGTAGTAGGGGAAAAAAGCTCTAAAATATCTTATTTGTTCCAACTGATTTAATTCATACTCCAGCTATGTGCTAGATACTGCATTAAGTGGCTATGCACCTCACTGACAACTTACAAAAGGCTGGTAAGATTTTACAGTATCCCGAGCTTTCAAATTGTCGAGCAGACCTAGAGGCCAAGGTAAGCCAGTGGGATCTGAACTTCAAAATAGGTGCCCCAGTACTGACAATGTTATTTTCCCCCTCTACTGCTGTCTCCTTTGGCTATTTTCCCAACCCAGTAAGGGACAGCTGCTTACTATGGACTCTTTCAGGACATTCTTGATAGCAATGCAAAAATCTTTGCCCAAACATAAAAGGCATGCCCCTCAGGCCTTAGGTAGTTTTAAGCAGTTTTTGTATATCCAAGAAAGAGATCTGCATAAAGACAGGTAAAGAAGTCAGTGTGAACTTTAGGACCAGTTTGGTAAGCCTCTTCAAAGGCTAAATCCATATGAATGGTACTTCGCTACTTTCCCTACTGCATCTACTTGCGTCCTTTTTGTAAATCCTCAGCTTTGCAAAAAAACTGGTGCTAACATAAAGGTGCTTTATAGTTTACTACTTTACAAAACTGCAATGCTGTATCACACATAACATTAAAACTCTTCTAAAAGCTCAAAATTTTTGATAAAGGAAAAGCTTTTCAAGCATTTACATCTACAGAGATGAAAGAGCTACACAGTGCACACCTGCACAAGGGCTTGAAAAAAATGTGCAATGCAGGAGAGAAAATTTATCTCTACTGAAACTTCGCACAGGCCACCTTTCTAATTAAACTATAGTGCAGATGCAAGCAACATTTATATTGAATTTTTAATAGACCAGAGGTTGGGACACTTTTAAAACAGCCAACAGGCAGCCTACAGTTTGCTCAAACTTGAATAGAATACTTGGTTCATAATATGTCTTTATTATAGCTCTTTTCTTGTTAAGCGTTAAGTGTGAATTTTAAATGACACAAGTGTTCAGTGCACATTTGTGTGAATAAAGTACATAGTTGTTCATCTTGTATAGTAGCCTTAATCTTTTGTGTGGTATAAGATGACTGTGCTGTCCCTTACGGGTACCCGCCTTTAATGTTGTTTCCCTCCAAATACTGTAGTACCTTACACCAATAATCATCATTCATACTACCTCTTACCAGAAAAAGTAGTCTGTTACTTATTGTCGTAACAAATACCCTTCCACTTCCTTTTCAGAGAACATGGATTCTCCAGATGAATCAAGCATTTTATTTAATTACAGCAAGCAAGGAAGTGCTCACTTATTCTCTACTTAAACGCCATAGTTAAGCAAAAACATCAGACCTATATCGAAAACACCACACTGATAGTTTCCAGAACATTATTTGCCACTTAATACCCGAGCTGTTGAGATTTAAGATCACCTTTTGGCAGTACACCACAGGATTCTAAACAAACAGGACTTCACCCGTATCACCTTAATTTCTTGATTATCTGCAAGAGAAGAAAACCACCTTTATAAAACTCTTATCTGTGTACTTACATCACTGTTGAGATCTTAGCAACTACTTGTTACTTTCTGTTTAGCTGGCTATTAACCTCTTTCAAATTACAAAGTTAACAGCAAGAAGGGGCCAATTCTGGCCTTCCAATTCCTTAGCACGAAGGGTTTCACAACTACTAATTGTTTCACTAACTACGAAATACGAATAAAAAGGAACCTACCATGTCATGTTTTCTATCATCCATCGGACAGTTAGTTCAGCCTCCTGGAAACATTTCAACAATAGTTAGATGTGTGCCCAGTAACCCAGCACCCTATAGGTTTTCAAATGTGAATGTTACTTGTGCAAGTCAGAATCTGATACCAATTAAATGGTGACAGCTTTGCCAATAAACAAGAATATGCTCTTCCATGGCTAGGAAGGGAGACTGCCACAGCTGACAGGTCCCAAAGATACATGGAGATTCACAATCCCAGAACAGATGAGCATGCACAACTACAGATACTACTCACCTTCTGGATCTAAATGGGGCAGTATCAGGATGCGGTGTTACTATTTAACAGTGGCGGAGTAGATTCAAGATGGCTACTTGACACCGACAGCGGGTTTCGCGACCTTTGCCGGAGTCGTCATGTGCACCGAACCTTCGCCCGAGGGCCCACGACCCGTGCGCGCTCGGCTTCAGGCTCGCCACCCAGAGCTGCACGTGGCCGCCTCGTGACCTCATAAACACCTAAGGCCCCTCAGGTTTTCCAACCAAGAGGTTTTCAAAGCAGACGTGGACCTACCACTACAAGTCTCTTGAAACTCCTGCATTTTAACTAAACCAAAAAGTTCTGCCCCAATTACCACCTCAGTGCACAAAACGCGACAGCGTACCTTAATCTCAGAGCCTAAATCCCGACGCTTCCCGGATGTAAAAGGCCGCGTCCCTTGGCGCACGCTCTCTTATAGGGCTGGTGACGCTATTCCGGGGAAGCGCCGCGAGGGGCGGGGCCCACGCGAATTTTCCTCCGCTCTGCCCTTCACGGCCCCTCCACGGTTCCACCCCTTCGTGATGGCCCCTCCCACCTCCCCCGCCCATCCTGGGGACGGGGCTGCTCACCAACCTTTTTGATTCTGACGCGCGCGCCTACAGGGGCGGCAGAAAGTTCTCGCGATACTAGGGAATCTTGATGCTCATGGTGTCCGGCCGAGTGGGAAGGTGAAGTTTTTGTTTCCTGGTTACTTTAAGGTAGTTAACTTTTGAGGTTGCCATAGTTACCGAAACACCAAGTTATATAGTTCTCCGCTTCTAAACCTTTAGATAGGTTAATATATATGGAACTAGCTGATTTTTTGTCTATTAATGAACTATCCGGGACTCCCGTCTTCCGCTGGAATTGCTGTTCCTGAAGCTCAGGTGTCAGTGATCTGCAGTCATTTAAAAAAGTTTTTTTTTTCTGGTCTAATCTCATAGGAGTATTTACACTCATTACTGAAAGCCTCGCCGAAAGATTCTGTAAACACAAGTTTAGAAAAAGCAAAGGACATTAGCCGGAAGAGCGTACGGGAGACCCATTTACGTGTGTTTCTGAACATGGCCCGCGTTGCAGACTGACCCAGTGTTGTTTTTACATATCTGGCCGCAGCTGGGCTCCGCCGACTCTTGAAAACGGGCGCCTAGGTCTTAACCTCCCTGCTGTACCTTCGAGGGTTTAATTAAAGAAATAATAGAGCTACCCCTTGTAAAATGGAATTAAAAATGTTTAGGAATACTTTTAGTCCTAGACATGTGCTTATTAACTGCCATTACATTTATTTCCTATTTTCCCTTGTCCTCTTATATGAAGCAAAAGGGAGGTTCGAGGCGACGTTTTTATTTAGTAGTGGGCCATTTGGAAAGGTATGTCGCCGCAGTTGCTGTCAGGAAAAATGGTATCAAGAGGCCTGGTGAATAAAGTGCCACAGTAGAGATCTACAGAATCTTCATGAAATCCTTACATACTGTTCTGGGGGAAATAATTAGAGCAAAAATTGCTATTACGGTTAGCGTCGGAATGACAAGTTTATAGGAAATAAATTTTAACTTGAAAGAACTAAAGTTTCTGAGGCTCACCTTCTCTCACCCTTTCTTTTTCTTCATCTTACTCAATCTCACTAATGAGCGGAAGATACTATTCAATAACAGTTTAAATACCAAATCACAGTGGAGAGTTTTGCCAAATTAGATTTCATTTAGAATCTCTAACTATCTGTATTACTTTGCAAAGGCTGTCCTAACAAAATGCCACAGATTGGGTGGCTTCGACAACGGATTTTTCACAATTCTGGAGACAAAACTCTGAGATCAAGGTGTCCACAGGTTTGTTTTTAGACCTTCTGTGGCCTGTAGATGGCTCTTTCCTCCCTGTATCTTCACATCCTTTACCTTCTAGCTTCTGTATCCCAATCTCCTCTTAAAAGAACAGTTATTTTAGATTAGGGCCTTGCTAATGACCTCATTTAACCTTAATTGCCACTTTAAAGATCTTGTCTCCAAATACTGTCTTATTCTGAGGTATTGGCAGTTAGGACTTCAACGTGGGGATGCATATATCTTTTTTGATTTAGTGTTTTTGTTTTCTTCAGATAAATACCCAGAAGTGGAATTGCTGGATCATATGTAATTCTATTTTTAATTTTTTGAGGAACCTCCATACTGAGTTCCTCCATACTTTTCCAAGCGGCTGGATGAATTTACATCCTCATCAACAGAAAACAGGGTTTTTTCTCCACTTTCTCACTAACGCTTGTTATTTCTTGTTTTTGTTTTTTGTTTTGTTTTTTTAATACTAGCCATTCTGATTGGGGTGAGATGATATCTCACTGTGATTTTGATTTACATTTCCCTGATTATTAGTGATGTTGAGGATCTTTTCATGTGTCTGTTGGCCATCTTTATGTCTTCATTGGAAAAATGTCTAGGGGCTCCTAGGTGGCTCAGTTGGTTAAGAGTCTGCCTTCACTCAGGTCATGATTTCAGGGTCCTGGGATTGAGCCCCACATCGGGC